CTGTGGGACCCTCAAAACTTCTGGTGATTATTTCTCCAATCACTCCTACCCAGCTTGTCAGTTACTGCCCCTCTCCCTCAGCTCAACTTGGTGGTATTTTTCTTTTTTCTTTCAATGTATGCTGATTGTACAATTTAGAAAATAGTTGGTGAGGGTAGTGGATAAATAATTGATATCGGTATTTTGCACGGGCATGCCGGGCCGGGCCCCCTGCAAGCAGAGTATCTGCCCCTTTCAGTTATTTATTCCTATTTATTGCAAATTACTCCACAGTATGTGCACCATATCTGCCTCTTTTCCCAACATCCCACTTTCATTTCCATGTTTTTTTCATGAAGAAAATTACTTTGTGAAGACTTCTATTTTGCCTTTTTCATTTCAAACTTCAAGAAAAAAGTTCATCTATAATCGGGGAATATCCCAGATTCAGTGAATTGAATGACACATTACTCACAGTTTTAATCTCACTGAATTCTAGAAGTGATTCTTCTCCCCTGTAAGAGGAAAGAAACCGGAAGATAAAATGAATGACAAAATTGAAATGTTACTGATGAAGTGTGTGTATTAAAGGCAGTACAAGACCCAGGGCAAATTCAGTTGAAAGCCAAACAGATGTCAAGAGAACCCATACGTCCATACGACGACAAATAATATTTACTTCATTTATGAATTTAAACACTAACTATTTTGACTTACCCTTCTCTGCCCATGCCAGACATTTTGTAACCACCAAATGGAGCTCTGGGATCTAGAACACTGTATGTATTCACCCTACAAATACATATCAACAAAACAATACTTCTGTTTATCGTAATGTTAATTGCAAATAAATGTTCTTGTCAAACAAAACACACTAATAAACCAACCTAATACATGTATTTATGTTGATTTCTAAAATCAAATGTAATTGCAATACACCACAACCTGTCCCATGTGGGTTCACCACAACCTATTTCATGTAGGTTTCACCCCTCTGAATTGCTTTGAAATACGCCTGTGTTTTACTCGAACAATATTGTATTAATTGTACATGTACTGAGTTTGTAAATGAAGGTTTTTCCTGACTTACCACACAACTCCAGCTCGCACACTGTTAGCCAAAGTCAGCGCTTTATCAATGTCCTTTGTGATAACTGCTGCAGCAAGGCCATAAGTTGTGTTATTCGCTCGATCAATTACTTCTTCCATTGTCTTAAATTTAAGTATCTGCTGTACTGGACCAAAGATCTACAGAATTAAAATAAAAACAGTTAAAGATGACAAGTTCCCTGGTTAAGGGAAAATACTTGGACTTGAATCCTGATTCCATTCACGTAAGCCCTACCTCTTCTCTAGCAATCATCATGTCATCAGTCACATCAGAGAACACAGTAGATTCAATAAAGTTGCCCTTACAGTCTGAGCGACTTCCTCCACAATGTAGCTTAGCTCCTTGTTCTTTACCACTTTTAATCAACTTCAGAATCCTTGTAACCTGATCTTCATCAATCTGCCATTTGCAAAGCAAGGAGATAAAGTCACTCTCAATCTCGGTTTATCACTAACATCACATACAGGACCATACAAAGTGAGCACTTCACAACATCAACATGCTTTGTGAAAAATTCCTAAGCTAAAGCAGCTTTCGGCTGACAGCTTTCGGAGGCACAGGTATTAATTTTGGCAATAGTCAAAGACTTTGGACGCATCTTGGTAATTAAATGGGGACATGAAGCCTGATTCAGTGTTCTCCTGGTCATATCCAGCAAACTCAAGTCAAGCCAAAATCCATTGTTCAATTTCAGCTCATTTAAAGTACCTGCACATGTGAGGTTATGGTTGAGAACTTTATTCCAAAGACAGTGATGCAGTGTTTATGGGGTCATCTAAATATGTATGTGTACTGTACAAACGATGGAATATGCCTGAAAAACTACATATACGAAGTACAACCCGGATTCCTTCTACACAAAATGTCAATAGAAATGTGTCCATACTCCAAATCATGACTCCTTGATGACCTCATACAATGTAGGAATGCTAAGCAGGAATAGAGCATGATGCTGAAAACCTTCCACAGTTTGAGTCTCCAGACAAACACAATGTACATGTATGTGCAACGAAATGTTCCTTACCCCTACCTCTTAATCTGTAGACGGGGGGTCCCAGGTGAGATTCCCACCAATGACAAAATTTGGACAGGTTAGTAATCATTCTACAAAAATCCTCATCCTATATCTCTGAAAAGTTCTTTATCATCTGCTCTTTTTTATGTTTTCCTAGGCTCCTGGCTACATTTGTTTTGCATACCTTTGAGGTCAGACTACTTGTTTTCAGTCATGAAATTGTTAAGATAAGGATCACTTACAACAGGACCAGACTCAGTTTTATCACTGTAGGGATCTCCTACAACCCTCTTCTTAGCTCGCTCTACGCTCTTCTTAACAAATTCATCATAGATATCTTCCTGGACAAAGGTTCTAGACCCAGCAACACAGATCTGACCGGAATGTGCAAACAGGGCTTGATGACTGGTTTCTACTGCATAGTCCACTGTCAAAAAATAGTTTCAGAATTATCAAATAATTACATAGAGTTTTCTTCTGTACCTGTAACCAATAACAGATCCAAAAGAGGCAATTTTATTTTTATTACAATGAAAGGACAGCTTTTGAAGATTTCATTTCTCATCCTTCCCAAAGCAGTTATTTAATAGATGACTTGTGAGTACCTTTGGTCCTCTATTTAAACATTACATCATCAGATTTGCTAATGTATTTTAAAGATTTAAATGGTCTGAGAGTCATTATAATCATTTCTTTAAAAACCTCAGACAAACAGCTTTGGCATGTGAATTATAAACCCTTGAATGAACTCACAGTCAGCATCAGCGAAGACAACATTTGGACTCTTCCCACCAAGCTCCAAACAAACATGCTTCAGGTTGCTCCTACCAGAAGCTTGCTGGATCAATTTACCAACCTGTCACAGAAAATCAAATCAACTCAAGAAATTGGATTGTCAGAAGACAACTGAATTGATTTACTGGGCTCACAGTATGAATGATGAGGACACTTTCTCATTGTGACTCACACCACGGTGACCTTACACCACTGTGACCTATACTACACCAACGTGGCCTTCAATGTGGTCCGGCAATGACATTTTGAGAGGCAGACACAAGGCATGTATGCACCTGTTTTCATCAGAATATCTGCAACTCCATGGATTTGTAGATATTCCAATGAAAGCAGGTGCAGTAGGACATTACATGGCATTGCCGGTACTACGTGCACTGAATTGGCATGTACTGTAGCTTTCAGGTATGGGCCCATTGTACCTCTATTCTGTCACTGAAGATGAAACCATACTGGTTGATCAAATACAAAAACCAAGTTAGTATTTATATCCTTGAGTTGACAGTCTACTATTAAACTGCTGAAGCAATTCAATGTCAGTCATTATAACAACTGACATTTTGTGCACACAAATCTGTGATTTCCTGGTCTATGATGTAGCACTGGTCACAACAATTCTTTCTTTTCAGGCAAATTGTCCAAATCCTCAGGAACCCATACAAATGCAATGCAGGCCTGGGTTTGTGGTAAATTTGACCAGTATAAGAGACAGAGAAAAGTTGTCTCCCTATACCAAGCTGGTTCTTCACTCATCAGATCAGCACAACTTTACCTCAACTGATCCAGTAAAAGTGACAACATCAACATCCATGTGCTCTGAAAGTGCAGCACCAGCTGTGGGTCCGTACCCAGGCACTACATTGACTACTCCAGGTGGGAAACCAGCCTAAAAAGAACCAGGGTTAACATGTTCAATTGGCCGTTGAGAAAGATTCTACTTGGATGAAAATAGGTTACCCTCCAAATTTTTCCTTTTGAAAAGGAAATAACTGTACTTCACTGTGGGCATATTTGATATGAGCAAATCAGGCAAGTTGCAATTGAAAACCATGATCAAGTTTTGAATTCATATAAAGAAATGAATTACTACTGACCTCCTTGATAAGAGATGCCATATAGAGTGCTGTTAGAGGTGTCTGCTCAGCAGGTTTGTGAACAAATGTGTTCCCACAAGCCAAGGCAGTAGCCATCTTCCGAACTGCGACTACAATTGGAGCATTCCAAGGTGTAATGGCAGCAACCACACCTTTGGGCTCATATCGAGTATAGCAAAAGAAGTTGCCATCTGAGCAAAAAAGCAACACCAAAAAGCAACAAATATGAATTCAGAATATGCAGACTCAACACACGAGTCCGTACTATCTTTATAGAGTTGTTATGAGAAAAAAGGGTGTGCACATATCACATGACCCCATACCAGCAAGGTGCCATTTTGCAAATGAACAGAATACTTTTTGATTCATTTCTTCCATCCCCATGTTTACTTGATAATTCATTTTTGTACATTATTAAAGTTATGTGCACATGTGTAAAATCAGTTAATGTACCTTCAAGTGGACACATTTAGGCACTGTACCATAACTGCACCAATTCTAGGTGAGTAGTATAGTAAATACACTCTCAGAGGTTTTATGTGTAACTCTAAATACCTCCAAAATACTTGTAATAGTCTTTTGTTTTGATATTTCGATATTTTTACCAATAACAAAAATGTTACCAATAGGAATAGTCTTTCCATTGATTTTGTCAGCCCATCCAGCATAGTAGTGCAGTAATCCGACAGCACGGTCAACATTACTTCGGCTACCCCTGATAATCAAGCCATTATCCAATGTCTCCAGGGACTAGAAATACATGCATGACAGAAAAGCAGAAGAATCTGTAATAGGTTTATAAAATTTGTACAAATTTTTAACAAAACTGCGTCCCAACCAACGCATAGCTTATGTCTTGAATATCACTGTTACTGAAATGTGTTTCTTCCATAAAGACATTAACCATCATCTCTATATACAGGCCTACTGTATGATATATAGATATAGATAACTGTAGGGTTTGTTCTTAGAAGTCTCCTAAAGAGATGCAGCACACAGAGGTGTCACTAACGCCATTTATTATTTGCTCATGCTGGGGCCAAGTTCAATCACCAATTATCATTTCCCAATCACTGGTCATTTTCCCCAGTAAAGTCTTCAGACCATACACGTATGTTGTGGGTACCATGCAAAATTGATTGATAGTTAACTACTTGGCACTGATAAATTTGACTTAGTTTGCTCAGACTGGTGCTTGCAGTAGCCTGTTTGTCAGCAGGCCACTGGAGTTTTCACCCAAGGTGGACTTTCATCATAAACCACATTTGATTCTGATAACATCAAATTTAAAGTGTCCATCTTTCTAAATATATATATCATACCTTTGTACAATAGCCTGAACAAAAGAGGCCTTTTATGGTCTAGCTAGGCTATACACATCAAAATCTGAGGATGTCTCTACAGGCCTACTTACAGCAATATACTCCTTATCCCTAACCAACAAATCAGCAAGCTTCAAAAGGTACAATGCTCTTTTGGAGGCATCCATTGATCGCCATGGTGAGCCAAGTTTGAAGGCTACTTTGGCAGCCTTTACTGCAGCATCCACATCAGTCTGGGCAGGAAAAGACAGGGTCAAAGGTTAAAATAAGGAGAGGTCTACTGCATGATAAGTTCAGATGTGATCTACAGCTCGATCTCTGGTCAACTGCATTTTAACAATACACACACAAACTACAGTCGCACTCACATGGCCAACTACTTGAATTTTGTAGAATCTCATCAACCACCTTTGCTACAACTCTGTGGCATTCATGGTCAACGACATCTCCCACACTTCTTTTCATGTGACTTGTTCCCTCTGTATTGCTAATCAGAAGTGGACCATGCCCCAAGGCCTGGTTCCAAATGGTCGACTATAGCAGTAAATTTTAGTCATCCCTAAAACTAGCTCATATCTAAAAATCTTACAGTACCGTATCAAATCTGTATGTAGTACATCACTGTCCAGGATTGTGTCCTCATAAGTTGGCTACACATGCTGACACAGTGTACCGCCCCCAAATGAGAGGTATAAAGGCTCCAAACCCTTTCATCATCAGACACAGAGCCCGGTTTCTTTCTCTGTGGTGAGTACTGCCTTGAAATTTAACCGCTATATTCTAAATCCAGTCTCAGGTATTGGCCTCACAATGCTCAACCATTCCAGCCAAGTAAATTTGATTCTATGTCGCCCTTATTGTTAGTCACTGAGTTACTTGCCTTGTCTCCTTCTTGTATGTCGCATATTTTCTCCCCTGTTGACGGGTTGATTGTGGGAAAGGTTTTGGCATTCACTGAGTTTACAAACTCATTGTTGATGAACAGCTGAAAATAACATTTGAAAAAGTTACAAAGATATGAACTAGAAAAACACTGAGAGAATGGATCTATCAATGGAAAGTACATTGTAAGAACGGAATGAAAGTACCTGAGTGTACTTGACTTCAGGTGGTGCCATCTGGATGATGCAATGTTCCCTGTGTACAGTTGTAATAGTTAGCCCCTATGAGATAAAACAAGCCATTTGGAATATTACTTATTAATCCAGTATTTCAACCTCCTTCCCACCCTTCTCAGGCCACAAATCCATCTCATGGTCATCATGAAGCCTGGAGGGTGTTGGTGTTCAAGGCCAGGGACGCTAAATATCTCACCAACATGATGCAATAAATTGGCTATATGAGTGAAGAAAAGGGTACTAGGTGAATGTTAAATGGGACTTGTGATACAGAATTCAAACAGATACAAACCACTTTCGATGCAATTTCTGTATTGTTCTTAACCAACCAAATCCCAACCCTACTCCACCACATACAGGGTCCATAGATGTCAATATTACTCAATTATTTGCGGTTATCTCAATAT